TACGTTATTGCGATTGGAGATTTAAAAAATTGAGATGGAATAACAAATCGTTCTCATGAAAATAACTGATTTTTTCATTAAAACAAAAAATGTTGCATTTTATTAAATGGATTGTAACAATAAGTATAATTACGGCTTTTCTTCCACTATTTTTAACTCAGTTTTAAACTTCAAATGCGATAGAATTTTGGCTTGGACCATCTAAGCTGACTGACATCAACTTGCTATAATTTCTGTTTACATTACATCGCAATTCGATGACACTCTGGCTCAGACACCAGAATGTTTTGACGATTTTTAGCATTCGTTTAGGATTTTCAAACAACCTGGTCTCTTTAAAAATACTTTTAATTTGTTCTTACGTGGTTTTCCAGATGTAGTGACGACAACATTAAAGTTTAAAGAAGAAAATTCTAACATTTAAACCGACTAAACAATAACATAGTAAACTTGCATAATTAAACAGCAACTAAAATGATAGGTTTTACTAAATCTTTTCCTGTGCAATTATTACTAGCATTGGAGACAAGGATAATAGTTTGTTTGAAAGAGAAAAGAACAGGCTTTGAAGTAAGCCTAAAAGCGTTTAACTAGAAATAGTATTTCGAAAGTTATTAAGCACAAAAGATGAATTGCGTTTATTTTGATACACCCTGTAGATTTGACATTTTTCCGGGGAAGAATACCCTCCGACCCTATAGATTAACTATACTATACCGAGTCCGAGTTAACGGATGCCTAGCTGTATTGTAAGTTTCAAGTGTTGTGTTTAATTTTGTCTTATATATTTTAAAATTGTCGGTTGGTATACGTTTAAACATCAATTGAAAGATTTTTTCTATAAAATTTCTGTAGGAGAAAGTTCCCACATATTGTTCGATTTTACATCTTGCTCAGCAGTGCCAGTTTTAGTAAGTAAACTTTGCATTTTCATGTTTATTGATTTGTTTCGAAAAAACAATAAACCCCCTCTATATTAAGCCCCTCTATATTAGGCCCACTCTATGTTAAGCCCCCCCCCCCTCCTGGAATATGCTAACATGTATTTCAGTTAATCATTTTTGTGAGAGGAGTTGGGGCTTAATAGAGTGGTGCTTAATAAATTTCTTCCTCTAAAAGCCACGGGGTATTGGGGGGAAGGGGAGGCTAAATCGAGGATTTACAGTTGCATGGAAGTAGAAGGCGATGAGGCATCATATATTAATCATTATGCTTGTTTGGTGGTTATCATGCATGTGACCAGCTTCCTTTTTTTTCTTTCTATGCGGTTCCCAAGCGTTTAACGTAAAAAAGAGCTCGGAATAGCAAGCCATATAATTTGTTTTCGCATGTATTTCGATTGATATCTCATATGCTATCTAACAATTATCTGTTCAGTCAACTTTTTCCTTCGGTAATTTGTATTTTTAAGTACATTAAAGATACAAATTACCGAAAGAGAAAGGAACAGCCTTTAAATTACACTAAAATTCCATTATTCTGGATCCTTAATTTTGCTGTTTCTCACTGCATGTGATATTTTGTTTTGCTGTTGTGATCATGTATCATTTATTTGTTTTGCCGTTGTGATCATCGATTGTGATGACGCTAGCTTTGGGTTTTAAACTATCAGGAACAAACAATTAAAGCTAGTGTTTTTATTTTAGCATTTACTGGAATTTTTCCGGCCACATTCAACACAATCAAACCTCATTGTACTGAAGAAGAATATTGGACACTGGCTGGCATTTCATCGAATATGTTAATATTGCACGGTACTTCATGACTTTATAATCACATATAATTCTTAATTTGTCATAAGTGCTACGTAAACCTTACGAACTTACAAAGAAATACAACGTTGAGATTGGAAAATGCAAATTAATTACAATAACAAGAAAACTGTTAGAGAAAAAAATTTAATTATCAGTATTTATACTTTTAAAACTCGGGTCTGCTATTTACTTCACGCCCCACACACCCCTCCCCAGCTAATAAGATCACCCATTTCCTAGAATGGCTAGGGTGAGTAAGACTTATCCAGGGTGTAGAAGTTCGCTCAGTGAGGGCTAAGACAATGCGGTCTTGCAGATTACATAATCATAACCTAGAAAATTCTTTCAGTGCAACTGTAGGGTTGAAATGATGTTAGTAGTCTGTACTTGATTACTACTATTAGATCATTGATATGGCTTCAATATAAAATAGTTTCTGTAAATAGCAAAAAAACCCATTAAATTGAAGAATTGTTAGAACCAAAAATAAATACTGGAACTTTTCATGGATATTATATCGTTGTCGTCGTTTAGTTCTACACCATGCACTGGCCTTATCGCGTAAATGTTAAAACATTTTTACACTTCCTGTGTCCCACTCCATTAAGATCCATTAACTTTGCTGTGAGTCAAACATGTAAATATTTACTCTATTTTAGGAGCTGTTTGTCATTACATGCTGTTGCTGTTATGTTCCTGGCTGTTGTGCTACGTTATTAATACGTTTCTCTTACTTGTTCTAAATAAACACCATATATTTACTAATCCTATAAAACTTCATGTGACACAGCTTATATCGTGTACAATTGTGCCGTTTCTTTTTGTTGGTATTTGTCTACTTGTTGAGAAACCTGCATATAGTATGATGTTCGAAGACCGCATAGCAATATTACCGTCCTCGTACATCCTTGTGTTTGGTACAGTGACACTTCCCGTGTTGCTTAGCGCTGGTGCCTCAATGACAATGTTGGTTGCTGTTGTAAGACGCATTAGAAAGGTGAGCAAGAACTAATACTTCAAATTAAAGATGTTTTAAGTGATCTTCTAAGGATATTAGGCCGGCTAGCTCGGTACATGCTAACAGAAATTCCAGGGAATTGTTAGCTGAATAACGAAATTTGCCGTGTCTATTTTGGAGGAAGCGAATTGGCTCTGGTTGTTGAATATTGCCGCTATTTGTGAATAGTAGTTGAATATTGCTGCTATTTGTGAATGAATTGTTCGTGTAAGGAGATATTTACCATATCTCTAACTGTAACATGTAACTGATTAAATGATGTTCCCATTATGCTTTGCACGCTTAGAGTTTAAGGTTTGCAACCCAATTCACAAGTACTAGTTAAAACATTCGCATCCGATCTTTATCTGATATACAAACTCTCGCCGAATAACGTGCTTAAAAAACGACCCATCTTATGAGTTTATTGGCGAAGTAATTTTAAAAATAAATATTGTCTAAGCTGAGATAATCAAAGCTGACGTTTATGTAAATTAGGACAAATCTTTATCCGATTTACAAAGATTGATTAAACATTAATTTATTTTGTATTTTCCTCATGAATTATTAATGAGTTTTTTAACTTTAGATACTCACATGCCTAGTTACTATTGTTCAAGTTTACCGAAATAGAACAAAGGCAACTAAGCATTAGAGTTATGTATAAGATTTATACTAATAATAAGAGTAATAATAATATAGGAGTAATAATAATAATGATTTCGATCATATGCTTCTGCATACTAGAACAATGATAATTAGGCATGTAATTTATCTAAAGTTGTGAACTGGATATAAACAAACGTTAGCCAAATCTGTCTATTACCTCAGATGAACAAACTAGACAGTGTTGGAAGGTTGGGTGTTGAATGCAGTGCACTCTATATTACATAAACCCGCCGTGGCTGGAAGCCTTGTATTTATGTATCCTAGCTTCATGGGCAAGAAAGTATTCGTAATGTAATTATCGAAAGGGTGTATTTGAGCGGGCACTACATGTCTCTCATGAATGTTTTTGTTTCATTAGGTTTCTCATGATCCCACAACAGCTGGTCAGGTGATACGATCAGATGAAGAAAGGGCTTCTCTGAAAACTGTAGAGCGTCATTTTCTTTCCATCATATGTCTTTATGCGTTGGCTATTATTGCTATATTCGTAGCCGAGGCTTTTCTACAGGATCAGGAGGTTGCTTATTTAGAGAATATTTTGGAGTATTTTTCTTGTCTTCAGGTATGCTTCAATATTATTAATACAGTTCATAATACTACAAACTATTTTTATTTCCCTTTCGAAATTTACTCGTAGGAATTTATAGGAGCGAGGGAATGGTTAGATTTTGATAACAAACAAATTAATATTTTAAGAAGTATTCGACTTTCATTCATAGAAATTTATTATTAGTAACAAATTCTTATAAATGAAAGTCGTCGGAATTTATTTATAAAAAACCTACATTATCCCAGGAATAAATTCCTATATATGAATTCAAATTAAACTCATGAGAACATAACTTTCACTTGGTGCCATAGAGATTTGTTGTATATTACTACGACAATAGAAATCGAACTATTGCTCGTGAAGCCATTGCTTTCTTCTACTACCATTGCTTTACGACTATTTATCGTTTTAATTTCTTTATTTTCATAAGAATAGATGATCCATTCATTTGCCATTTACCGCAATTGTAAATTCAAATATCACTCTCTTACCCTGATTCATCATTTCATTTTTAGACTGACAAACTCTGTAATAAACCTGACAGGCCGAAGTTCTTTCTTTCAAATATGAAAATATTAACACCTGGATTTTTCTGCCTGGTGACTTTCTTCCTGCTATTTTTTACAAATGAAACACGTTCCATCTGGAGAGGATGGTTAAACTGGAGTAGCTCGAAAGCAAGAAGCATTGGGCGGTGTTTTTTGCACTGGTTAGGAGAATGTAAGATGTCTTTAACCAGGAAACAGGGCAGTTTACGAGTGACAGATCAAGTTGTGCCAGAAAGCGTTAACAGGCTGACGTCTGGAAGTGTCGTATCACTTAATGTTACGCACGATTTATCATCTTATGTAACAAGAGCGACAACTGTGGATGAAGATCAACATGGCCGGACTAATGATGTTGTCATCACACATTTATAGGTGGTGAAAGATCAACAATATACAATATAGCGTACAGAACGCGTTCAACGACGTGCGTCGAAGTACATATTGAACCTACCGTTCTTCTGTGACATCAACTATAACCATCGTCTCTCAACATTAAATCTACTACCTCTGTGTTACTGGCACGAGTACCTAGACATAATGTTCCTTTTCAAATCACACCATGACATTATTAACCTAAGCAGCGACATACTACCTCACCCTCAAAATTCAAGTCAACGTACCCGATCTACAAACCCTAATACAATATAATACAATACAATACAATTTTATTCAGTACCGGTAGTAATACATACATAAATATAAAATAAAGATAAAGTTACGAAAAGAAGGTACTAGCTAACTGTAATAACCAAAAGGCTAATCGAGACAGTCAGCAAATTTGATTAGTAACAAAATATATTTTAGTGGGTAAACTGAATAAATAAAACACATGCAATAAAGATTTCAAAATGGACAATTTTGATGCTATAAGCTAATATGAATTCAATATATTATTTTTAAGTTTGTGTTTAAACTGTGATTTAAAAAGACCCTTAAGATTTTCGTCAATTGAATTCCACACATTACTGCCAACAAAACGTATATTAAATTTTCCATAGTTGGTTCTTACTTTTGGAAGGGAGTATGACGATCTCGAAGCAAGTCTGGTGTTATAGTTATGTTTTTGGCTTACTAATGCAAAATACTCATCAAATACGTGAGGAAGTCGACCTGTATGAAAGTCGTACATAAATAGTGCATTATGATAAAAAATAAGGTCATGAAACTTGAGAAAACGAAGTTGAATGAAGAGAGGGTTAGTATGATCCTGATAGTTAGAAAATGTTATTAAACGAATAATCTTTTTTTGTAGGATAGCTAATGGATTCACTGTTGTATTGTACGTGTTACCCCAAGCAACTAGAGCGTATGTAAGAAATGGATAGATAAGTGAATAATATAAATTAATAAGAATATCCAAGGTCACAAAATTACGTATTTTTGAGATGGCTCCAATATTGCGCTTTATCTCTTTGGAGATTTCTAAAACCTGAGCTTTAAAGTTTAGGTTAGCATCTATCACTACACCCAAATATTTGAAATTAGATGTTTGCTTCAATAATTTATTGTTAATCGTTAATTGGATACTAGAAGAAATTTTTTTCTGAGGAGGGTGAAATATAACAAAGTTTGTCTTATCGATGTTAAGCGACAATTTGTTAACACAGAGCCATTTATTTATATGCTCAAGTTGACTATTTATAGTAGATTCAAGAATTGGTAGGCTTTTATTATCAAAAAATAAGCTTGAATCGTCAGCAAAAAGAAAAAAGTCAAGAATTCTGGAGGAGTTACAAAAATCATTTATATAGATTAGAAATAAAAGTGGGCCAAGGACAGAACCTTGGGGTACACCACATGTAATAGGCATTAAAGATGATCTAACATTGCCAATTGTCACAAACTGATGCCGATTCTCTAGATACGATTGGAACCATTTAAGTGCCACGCCTCGTATACCATACCATTCAAGTTTTTGCAATAAAATATGATGGTTAACTGTATCAAATGCTTTCGACAAATCAAGGAATACAGCACACGAATATTTACCATCATCGATAGCTTTCTGTATCTTATCAACTATTGATAAAATTGCATGTAATGTAGAATGATTTGAACGAAAGCCAAACTGTTTAGTATATATTATATCATATTTTTCAACAAAGTTTGACAGACGTTTAGACACAATTTTTTCAAGAATCTGGTTAAAAATACATAATAAAGATATAGGGCGATAATTGTCTAAAATTAATTGTGAGCCTTTTTTATGTACAGGAATGACACTAGCCAGTTTGAATTGGCTAGGTACAGTACCAGTTGAAAGACAACAATTAAAAATAGATTCCAAAGGCTTTGAAATAAATCTCCTTAGCAATTTCAGAATTTTAACTGGTATGCTATACGGGCCCGTAGCTTTTGAGGAATTAAACTGGACAATTATTTCTTCAATTTCGTTAGAGGAAGTTGGATTCAAGAACAGACTATTTACTTGGCGAGAAGTCATAAATGACACTGGACTTGTATCAATACAGGGGACATCTCTAGTTAATGCACTTCCAATATTAGCAAAAAAATCATTAAACCTGTCAGCAATTGATTTACTATCAGTTATTTCATCACCATTAATAAGTATCTTTGAGGGTAAACCTCTGTTTTTTGTTTTGAGAGTTATTATTTGTTTAATTCCTTTCCATATATTTTTTATGTGCGATTTGTTTGTGGTAAAATATTGATTATAATAATTAATTTTACTAATTTTTAATAAGTGATTTATTTTGTTCCTATAGGTTTTAAATTTATTGTAAAAGTACAATGATCTTGTTTTAATATATTTTTTATAATAATTGTTCTTAAGTTTTATAGACATTCTAATCCCTGAGGTTATCCAAGGTTTATCAAAGTGTTTAAGTTCTTTTTTGCTCAGATGTCGCAGAGGAATATGTTTATCTACAATGCTAGACAGTTTGGAGTGAAAAATATCGAACACTTCTGTTGGATTGCTATCATTGGATGTTTCCATGTTCCTATCAGTAGACTGAATTTCTTCAAGTAATAAAGCTTCGTTATATTTGGAATAATCCCTACGGGAGAGTTTAAAGTTCTTAGGTAGTGCTGAAAACTTATTTATAACTAGAAAATTCGGAAGATGATCAGTTAAATCATATATTATGTTACCACTAACAGTATGATGATTAACTGAGTTGAAAAAGATGTTGTCAATTAGAGTAGCCGAGTGATCAGTTATTCGTGTTGGTTGTAGTATGTGAGGATGAAAAAAATAAGATCCCATTGAATTTACAAACTCGTCGGTACCTGCGTGAGATTCAAAATTTAAAAGATTGCAGAAATAGCTCTTGATCCATTGGAGTGCAACGCCTCTTATACCATAATGTTGTAATTTAGTAAATAATATTTCATGATCTAAAGTATCAAAAGCCTTTGAAAGATCAATGAACACTCCAGCAGCTATCTGGTTCTGATCAATGGCCGTGGCAACGTTATTTATTAGAGAAACAAGTGAATGCATAGTAGAGTGGTTACTGCGAAAACCAAACTGAAATCTATACAAAATTTCACATTGCTCAATGAATGATGTTAACCTGATTTGCATAACTTTTTCAAATAACTTTGAAAAGTTTGTCAGGAGTGATATAGGTCTATAGTTTGTAAAGAAACTTTGATTTCCAGTTTTAAAAATTGGTATAATTTTAGCGGTCTTTAGTTTACTTGGAAAGACCCCTTTGGATAAAGAGAGATTTATAACATTAACAAGAGGTTCTACTATTAGGTCAATAGATTTTTTGATTACATACATGGATAGATTATCATAACCAGGAGCTTTAGCTGTTTTAAAAGAGTTACAGATTTCTAAAAGCTCAATTACATTTGTTGGATGAAGTGAAATAGATTCTTCGCTATTTGAATTTAGGAAAGAAAGAAAAGAGTTTGAAGTCTCAGGAATCTTACTTGCAAGATCAGGGCCAATGTTAGCGAAATATTTGCAAAACCTGTTAGCAATGTCTTTAGGATCAGAGAGAAGGGTGTTATTTGATATAAACGAGGAAGGCAGTGAGGTTTTTGTTCTACGTTTATTAATTACTTCGTTTATTAGCTTCCAAGTTGTTTTGTGATCGTTTTTTGCAGTTTCAAATTTATTCTCATAATATGTTTTCTTAGCAATCTTAATCAAATGTGTAAGCTTGTTTTTGTATTTCTTGTATTGTCTTTCTTTGACAGGACTTCGTGAAATAATGAACTTTTTATAGAGTTTATTCTTTTTCCTAACACAGGTTAATAGCCCTCTTGTCATCCAAGGTGTTAATGGTTTGTTCGAGTTTTTTGCTCTGACTGATTTAGAAGGAAAGCTAAGATCATATAATCTAGAAAATTCATACTGAAAAGCATCGAAAGCACTGTCTGCGTCTTGATTAGGGAGATTTTCCCAATTGACATTAGTAAGATGTGAACGAAATTTGGTAATATTGCTATCGCTAAAGTCCCTAAATATGGTCTTTTCAGCACTTTTGCGAGGGGGAGGAGTTTCTGTAAAGACATAAACAAAGACCGGTAAATGATCTGACAGGTCATTAATAATAATTCCACTGAATAAATTTTGTGTCAAATGGTTGGTAAAAATATTGTCAATAAGCGTTGCCGAATGTGCTGTGATGCGCGTCGGCATACTTATTAAAGGCAAGTACATATGGGAAAACAGATTTTCGACAAATTCATTAGTTGCGGAATGCGCGTTTAAGCAGTACATATCTATGTTATAATCTCTCATTATGTAACAGTGCTTGTTGTTTTTTGAAATGGTAGAAAGAATTTCATTAAACTTATCCAAAAATAAAGATAAATTTTGGTTTGGTGATCGATAAACTACACCAACTACAATGTTCTTGCTATTTGGTACGAATATTTCAACAAACAACGACTCAATCATATTTGGATCTGAAAAGTTACACTCCGAGCATATTCGGTATTCAAGATCATTCCGCAAGTACAAACCCACCCCACCGCCGGACCTCGCAGTTCTATGACAGGACAAAAAGTTATATCCAGGGAGATTAACTCTGTCTGATGTAGTATCATTCAACCAGGTTTCAGAGATACCTATTGCAGTGAAAGATTGGCGACTATTTGCTGCAAGAGATTTTAGATCATCAAAGCTACTGAGCAAACTACGAGCATTTACATGCAGGAGCGAAAAGCTAGCATTTTCTTGTTTTGATTCAAGGATTGCGTTGACCTCGTCCTGAACCATATAACTGCTGGTAGGAGAAAGCGCGGAAAAATTAAAATTCGGATCTAGATTCTGCGTTAGGTGATCTAAATGAGATTCGTCAATTGGATTGAACAATAAGGTATCGAGGCGGTCCGCATCAAAGTGCAGTGGACCATGAGCCATTTCATACAATGCAATATTAAAAGAACAATCATCTAGGTGATTAAAAGGGAGAACTGTCAGGGAATTTTGATTTATGTTACAGGGCATGTTAAAATTTTTTAACACCATTAAATGAACTTATCTTGTTTATGACACATTTAATCCTTCTAGATCACTTAAATTGTTGATGAAATCTTCATTCTTTCTTAGGTATATTTTTAGCGTTTTTCACCCAACAAAACTTGAAGTTATGCTGTTTTGAGAACCGTTTAGCTTCGGCGAGAAGATTTTGTGCTTTCGGCGTAAGATGTTCCATGACCAAAACATTACAAAGGGAAGCGTCTGACGAGAGGCCCAAGGCTTCAGATTTTACTTTACTCGCTTCTTTTCGTTGTCGAATAACTTCATCTTTGACCACTCTTCGAACGAATTTACAGACGATAGGTTTCGGGCCTGTAGCGAATGCATTTCTGTGCGGGACTCGATGTGCTATATCGATATCGTGGGCTTTTACTTCTACACCCATTCCGTTAAATAGTCGAACGCATAACTCAGTCGACGTGGCAGCTGTTTCTCTTTCATTACATTCGGGAACACCGAGAAGTTTGACGTTGTACTGATAACTGTACTTTTGAATATCATCTATAGCATCTGAAAGTTCATCTGATTTTTTTGCCACTCCTTCGAGACGTTTATTTAGTTGTTTGAATTCTTTCTCGGCAAACTCACAGAAGCGACTCATATCGTCAACTTGGTTTCCGAGGAAGTTAAGGCTCTTTTCTGCCTCGCTATCCGATAGATTGACGGTCTTATCGTTGCAAACACGCGGCATAATATCGTATAGAATGTATATATATTACCGATTTCTTCCCACTTGTGTCCAGATTGCACAATCAAAAGTTGTAAATAAGTAAAACAATGACGCAACAGCTAGTACAAATATTCTTCGATAAAAACAACTTTTTCTTCCCATTATTTAGTCTAGGGCTAGGGGCCTGGCACTAGTGCCGATGGGCAGAGGCGCTTACAACGAGCGAAGGTGGAAAAAGCACGTTCTAATGCCATGACGACAACAAATGCACTGACCCACGACGGTGCGTGCGCATCTCATGGTAATCGGGATGTGCATAACGCTCTGGTAGAACTGCTTTACTAAGATATTGTTTTAATGTTTACAGCAATTCCGCTCAGGTTACATGGACCATCAAGTGCAAATAATACTGGTCGTGTGGAAGTATTCTATAGAGAACAATGGGGAACAATCTGTGACGATAGTTGGGATATGAATGATGCTAAAGTTGTATGTCATCAACTTGGATATAAAGATGGTGTTAGAGCTCTTCCAGAAGGTCAGGTTCCTAGTGGTTCTGGAACGATTTGGTTAAATAGTGTCAACTGTACTGGAAGAGAGCAAAATTTGACCAGTTGTTCTCATAAGGGTTGGGGAAATCATAATTGCAGCCATCTTCGAAACGCTGGAGTCGAATGTTCTTCATCAGGTAAAGTTATTAAAGGAATTTCTTGATGCTTGTATTATATATTATAATATAAGTGGGATATAACAGACAATTTGATTGGCTAATTAGCGTGCATTGTGATGCAATAATGCTCTGTGGTCCGTGACACTGCCTTGCTCTTTCTGTGTTTTTCCATGGTTTTTAGACAAAAGTATAGACAAAACTATACCAGAGGAACAAAGTAATTTTATCTATAGTTCTACGTGTAAAAACTGTAAAATAAACCGGCTTAGCATTCGTCGAATTTGTTTTTGTCTCGACAAGTTTTGGACAAAAGCGTGAAAGTAGCCGAGAAAAAATACTAAAAGCAATACCAAAAACATAGAAAATGGCAACAAAAGCTGAACAGAAGTGAATTAGGATGTACCTTCGATGGTTCTAATAAAAACTGCTAGATATATTTTCGACAAATGGCAAAAAATACAATATTTCAAAAATTAAAACTGAAACCTACGATTTAACGTCTTTCATGGCAAATCCGACAACCCAGATGCTGATTCCGACCGTGGCCAGGCATATTTTTCAAGCCTTCCCGGTGAGGATATTGTTTTGTCTTCAAAATCGTTATTTATTTCAACGTCCCAAAATCTAAAAACTACACACATGTGCTCACTTCCAATCGTCCCTGACCCCCCTGATGCGACGTTCTATGCTTCATGTAACACCAACATAACATCTCCCTCTTTCACTCACAACAAATAGATCTAAGTGAACGGGGTAATGTGAACTAAAACCTGTAGTCCATGCTACGATTGATAACACAACTAAGTATACAACTAAGTATATTTACCGTCCATAAAAATCTGGCGGTACGTCTCTGTTTGCTCATAAAGGATACCTATCTTCAATTATGTCTTGAACATTGTCCTGTCCTGCTTGTGGGGCCGCAATGGTAATATCGTCTTCTGACTCAGGCTTCGGAACAGTTTCTCTATACGCTCCACAAAATTTCTCAAAATGCGAAATGTTTCTTGTAATCATATGATCTCCCCTTTGCGCTGTTACTCTGGAATATCGCACATTGATAACTTTGTATGGTTGAGGACGAAACATGGTTGTATACTTATTCTTCTTTTTTTGTTTCACCAACACTGCATCTCCTTCCTTTATCGTTGACTTTCTTGTATGTCTTCTGGCATCTACATATTGTTTTGACTTAGCCTTTCCTTTCAAAACCCTTTCTGCAGCTGTATTGGCAGGTGCCTGAGTGAAAGACGGAACGGTAGATCGAATTACTCTTTTGTAAAGCATCTCGGCTGGCGCCACACCTGTAGATAGGTGGGGCGTAGTACGATAATTCATCAAAAATGCGAATAGTTCTCTTTGCCAATCTCAACCCTCTGCCCAAGGCGCTCGAATAGCTTTACCCATAGGTTTCATGAAGCCTTCCACTTCTCCATTGGCCTGGGGCAATAAAGGTGTAACACGGTGATGGTAGATGCCTTGTGTTGTCAGATAGTCTTTAACTTCCTTGGACTGGAACGGCGACCATTATCGCTCTTAATTGTGTCTGGCAGTCTGTGTCGGGCAAAAGCTTTTTCAAACGCTCGTATTGTATGAAAAGCTGTGGTTTTATTCATAATCTCAACTTCTGGGAATCCTGTTGTTTCATCTAACAGCCCCAATAGATGCTCTCCTGTAGGTGCTGGTCCATAGAAATCAACATGAACACATGACCATGGTGCCTTTGGAGGTGGGACAACTGCTAGAGGCGGAGGGGGTTCAGGATTACCAGATATTTGGCACGTCAAACACTCCTTTACACGTTGCTCTGCTTCTTTATCTAATCCAGGTCACCATACCTTGGTTCTAAAATTTTGTTTGGTCTTGACAATTCCCAAATGTCCCCTGTGTGCCAGGACTAGAGTTCTATTTCGAAGTGATATAGGTATAATCGGTCGGTGTTTTCTCAACAGTACACCCCTTACTGATGTTATTTCATATCTGCCGGTTTCCCTGTGCCTGGACGATACTTGACCGTGTAGTTATACTGCTGGAGGCGCAATGCCCATCTCTGTATTCGAGCAGATTGTTTGGCCTTTGCTGAGTAAAGGATTTCTAACGCTTGATGATCTGTATACAGAGTAAACTGACAACCAACTAAATATAAATGAAATTTCTCGCATGCCCACACACATGCCAACGCTTCTCTTTATGTCTAACAGTACCGCTGTTCAACTACTGTTAGTGCTCTACTAGCAAAAGCCATCACTTTCAAAATGCCCTGTTCGTCATGTTGAACCAAAATAGCCCCTAGGCCTACAGGACTAGCTAGAATCCACAACCACACTCGTTGATCTGTTAGGGTCATAATATGCCAACGTACGCTATTCAGATAGCGAAAATTTAACCTGATCAAAGGCCTCTTGATGACTGGCGTCCCATGTCCATGGAACCATTTTGAGGTCCAATTTCCGTACGTAGCGGCGCCGTAATGGTGGAGAAATTAATAAAACTTCGAACAGTAATTCACGAGTCCTAGAAAGCTACGAAGTTCTTTTGCATTGTTTGGGGTAGGTGTATTTTTTATTGCAACAACTTTCTCTTGGCCAGGCCTAATTCCATTCTTACTAAGAATTATGCCATAAAACCATAAACTGTCCACATTGAAAAGGCACTTGCTTTTCTTTGCAGTCAATCCTGTGTCTCTTAGTCTCTGCAATAGAGCTTGAAGATTGTCATCATGTTCTTTTTGAGTTCGTCCCCAAACAATGATGTCATCAACAATGTTTTTAACTCCATTCAATGACTGCAATGCATGCTGGATAGCATCTTGAAACACTTCGCTTGCCGAGTTGATTCCGAAAGGGAGTCTTTTCCACTGGAAAAGACCTTTATGAGTGGTAAAAGTTGTTATACCACGCGATTCTTCGTTAAGCACAATTTGATGGTATCCGCTTCTTAAATCCAAGCGAGAAAAATGAACTGCATTGCTCATATCATCTGTTAGTTCCTCAATTGTATAGGGTGGTATTCCCTCTTAATGGCTTCGTTAACTCTGCGATAGTCCCAACATACGCGTATTTCGTCCGCATTTTTTGGCTTAGGCACGATCACTACTCCACTGACCTACTTTGTACTTTTATTAACGACAGGTTCAATCAAATCATTATCCTGCGATTCTTGAAGCCACTTCTCTAACTGAGGTATTCTACGGTATGTTTGGGCCACGGATGGCACGCTATCGTCAATGTGCAGTTTTTGTTCAAACCCTTTAAGATGTCCTACACCTTCAAATACATCTGCGTACTCTACTAAAAGAGTCGAGACTCGCCCTGTGTCTGGCGTACTTGTGCATACTTTTGTCATTTTTTCACCATTACGTACTACTTGTCGAGTTACTGGTTGTAGTAGGTATCTGAACTTGGGTTGTGGTTTGTCGCGAGGCTTTTCTATCCAAATCACCCTCTTGTACTGCTTGCTGAGAAACTGAATTTAGATCAAACTTAATAAGTCTAAATTGCTGTGCTGTTGTATTACTTAGCAATTTACCAGTTGAGATGATGTAATGTAAATTGTAGCCCCTGTCATACAATGTTTTGATTCTACTAGTGTCTCCACTTTGCCTAATAGGAGAATATGGTTATTTTCTCCAAAAGCATGAATCTTTGTGTTGGTTTTTTAAGGATATTGGTTCTTTGCTTTGTTTGCTTAAATATTCGAAATCCTCGGACCCAAAACGTTAACAGACGCACCACTATCCACCATCATTTTCATTGGGACTCCATTAACACGGACCGTAGAATAGGGATGCTTACTTTGTTGAGCTTGTTGAACTGTGAACATGTGTTCTGAACCGCTGTCTGAGTCACTACTCAAATTACTTGTTGATTTGTGGGTTGATGAATGCCGTTCATCAACCTTACTAACACGCTGGAATGAACTAGTAGCTCCACCGGTTGTTTTACATACCCGAACAAAAATGCCCCCTTTTATGACACTTGTAACATTCTTTGTCTACAGCTGGACATCCCTGGTTATCCTTGTGTGGAAACCCCAGTCAACATTTAAAACATCTCTTACTAGATGATGACGAGTACTTACTGGTTGTTCTAGGTCTTCAGTGATCCTATTGTAATTGATTAGTATATTCCCCATTACCATCAGAAATGTCCTTTTTTATAATTTCCTTTGTTTGTTGGTCTGTACGAGCGAATGCTCTTCCATAATCTAATATTTGTGATAGGCTAAAGGTTTTTTCCATCAAAATCTTTCGTTGCAATCTGTTAGATAAACATTCTTCAATTATTTGTAGTTTCAGTTCAGTATCTGTGTTTGTAAATTCACATGTTTTGGCCAAAGTACATAATCTAGTATAATATGCATCTAAGGGACAGGTCATAATTTATCAGGGGGGTCGGGGGTGGGGAGGTGTAATTCAAAATTTTAAGGAATGATATTTTGCTGCCGCTGCCTAGCCTCCTGCGCAGACGTTGTTAGTGGCCCGAGGCCTCACCTAACGTCTGCTCACATTCGCTATACATTTGACTTCCCGGCAATTAACCAATCACAATCATCTACACGATAATTGGAAGATCGGCCTTCAATGACCTTCACACGCATGGGCTATATCAACAAGTCTGTAGTATTTTTAAATTTGAAAGTTTTAACACTGCGCATTAGAAAAAGGCTTTTCAGTCTATTATAAACGAAAAGGATGTTTTCGTAAATCTCACAACTGACGCAGGAAATCACTTATTTATCACGCCGTTACCGAAGCTATTCGATGTAATATTCGGATTTAAATATTTAAACAAATTGTAACCATTGTAAACATTTAGTAATCGTGATTTCGTCATTGATAAATTCAATACGATCGTGATCAAGTAAAAAAATTACACGATCTAGGAGTCGGTGCTGTGTCATTATGAAGTTTAATCGAGAGCGATAAAGAAGCGAAGACATTGGAAGATGGGAAATATTCTGACTGTATTATATGGCACAGCAGAGTCATTGCTGAAGACAAAGACAAAGTGTATGGCAGGACGGTTTGTGCTTTGGCTATTGATGCATGAAGCTCATTTCAGTATGTATTATAATAAATCCTAAACATGTGTTTGCATTTGCAATTCTCAAAGCCACAGCAATCGATCGGCTTTGACCATTTTAATAGTCGTTATTTTATATTGTCTTGATTTATACGTTGCCTCGTATTATCTATTGCACGTAGCACCAGCAAGTTTATGAGCCATTGTAGTTAATATGCATGCCCCAACCCTCTGATGTAAACCCTTCATAATTGCCCTCATATAAACTTGCATGCTAGTACTACAAGCAAATAGATAATACGAGGCAATGTATAAAAAGACAAATTCAATTTAAATAAACAATATAAAATATTAATGAATAATGACTATTAAAATGGCCAAGCCCGATCGATTCCTGTGTCTTTGGGAATTACAAAAGCGAACACATTTTTAGGATTTATTATAATACATAAAATTCTTTAATCGCATGAGCTTTATGCATCAACAGCCAAAGCACAAACCATTTTGCTATACGTACAATTTGTTGAAGCATTCGTTTCCATCGTTCGGTCTTCAACAATGACTCTGCATATAATACAGTCAGAATATTTCCATTCTTCCAATGCCTTCGCTTCTTTATCGCTCTCGATTCAACTTAATAATGACACAGCACTGACTCCTAGATCGTGTAGTTTTTTGACTTGATCTCGTATTGAATTTATCAACCGAAACCACGATTACTAAATGTTTACAATGTTTACAATTTGTTTAAATATTTAAATCCGAATATTACATCGAATAGCTTCGGTAACGGCGTGATAAATAAGAGATTTCCTGCGTCAGTTGTAAGATTTACGACAACATCCTTTTCGTTTATAATAGACTGAAAAGCCTTTTTCTAATGCGCAGTGTTAAAACTTTCAAATTTAAAAATACTACAGACTTGTTGATATAGCCCATGCGTGTGAAGGTCATTGAAGGCCGATCTTCCAATTATCGTGTAGATGATTGTGATTGGTTAATTGCCGGGAAGTCAAATGTATAGCGAATGTGAGCAGACGTTAGGTGAGGCCTCGGGCCACTAACAACGTCTGCGCAGGAGGCTAGCCGCTGCCGTGCTTTCGACTTGTTATCCATTGCCAACAAATATCTTTGAAATCTCTTAAGCATTTGCCCCCCTTGCCCCTCCTGGTAAAGGGCAACGGGGGCGGCTGCCCCCTGCCCCTCCCAGTTCCCGCGTCCCTGATTAAAAAGCCCAGTCGAATTGTAATCAAGACCCAACGTTTCGACACTCCAATCTATTGTCTTCATCAGATGTGAGTTACTGGAGTGTCGAAATGTTGGATCTTGATTACAATTCGACTGGGCTTTGTAATCATTTATTTAAACCAGAGTAGCGAACGAAACATGATTGATATATCTGGTTGCAGTGAACGAACAAACTTTAAATATTTTTGAGAAGTCAGCATACAATAAAGTAAACTTTTTCTGAAGTACTTTCACTTGGAACAAAGTCGTTTTAAGAAGTAACCATTTACAGTGATTTACTTCCGAATCGCTATTTTCATTTTGTGGCGAAGTATTTCGTTACTTTCCAACTTTTGTTCAATTTTACGTGATTTATTCCTGATTTGTTTTAATTTTGGGATAAGTAATAGGACCTCTACATGCGTCTGGAATCTCTCGTTTGTGGCATACTAATAAGCATTATTTATTTAATGGATTTCTTATATCTTCAACGGGGTCTGGAAAGTAGATCATGCCGTGAAATATTGTACATTAATTATTGTCTTTTGTATGTCAATCCATTAGAGAAGTCCCCCCCCCCTACACGCTACAGATAATAGTACTTTTACCTTCACTTTGTACCTCAAGTGTTTTTAAGGATACTTTGTACTTTTTACTTAAGTACGTTTTGCCTCCAGTACTTTTTATTCTTACTCAATTCGTTTTATTGCTAATCGATTCTACTTTTACTGGGTTACAAATTCAAAGTAATTTAGGCACCACTGCTAAACGCTATCTATGCGAGGATGTGCCGTATCTTGATTCTATTACAAAACTGTACTCAAAGAAACGTGAAACAAGTAAAGTCTACAATTTTGGAAAATGTGCGAAAGGAGTGTTTACCAACCTTTATATTTCCGTGTTTAATTAATCTATATATAGATGTGGATGAATGTTCTCGAGGATTGGACAACTGCAACAAAAATGCTCAATGTAGTAACACTGTTGGGAGTTTTTCATGCAGGTGTAACCAAGGCTATGGGGGAAATGGCGTGACTTGTGATGGTGAGTAAGTAGGTTGGAAATCCAAACGCCTTCGTTCATTTTATTCAGTGCAGTCAACTCAGAGTCACATTTTCCTAATCAATTTATTCTCCATTAAAAATACCTCTTTTCACTCTTACACAATTATTTACGTTTGCGGCCAAAAATTTCGAGTTTAAAAGCAGAATTCTAGTAGGGAAAGGAAAACTAAACATAGAGTTTTCAGGTGATTCGATGTAAACCAATATAAATGTTTGATGCCAATCAATTTCATGCCACTCCACATTAAATTCGACCACTTTATTATATACTTCCATTGAGTTGGACGAAGCAAGGAAATTAATTTTAAGGAATATAATTATTAGTAAGTAACATATTAAGTAAACGTTCACTAACGAATGTCTGTTTTTTGTACTCTTAGACATCAATGAATGTCATCTATCGACTCATAACTGTCATTCTAACGCTTATTGCACCAATATTAATGGATCTTTTCTGTGCACTTGTGGCCGTGGATATATTGGCGATGGAACTGTTTGCCAAGGTAAATAGACATGGATGTTTTTATCAAAACAACCTTGACAAAAAAGATCACTACAGTATGTTAATTTCAGGTTTGAACTGCTATATCTTCCTTTTCGAAAAAGATACGATTTTTAAATGCTCACTTGAGTATAGTACATGTGTTTCTTCACAATATTCCAAAATAATGACTGTTGTTACCTTTCACTTTTAAAATTATTTATATTTTCAGTTTATGGGCCCAGTATCCGGTCAACTGCTCCTGTATCCGGTCACTTCAAGTTTCTTTGTCTATTGTATGAAAGCGTTTGTTTTACGGCAATTTTCGATCATTTTTTATTGATCCACATGTACTGAGTCATTAGCAACCTTTTTTTGAGGTTTAGACAAGGTTTAGACATGATATTTCCGGCTTGAAACTACCTCTCCTACGCAGTTTTCGGAGAGTTTATTTATTAATTTGGTCACAGAATAAGAAGGTACAGCAGAAGAGTCACTCGAAAATTTTTACGTCCACGAAAATTTTAACTCGCTCACGCCATCCTGGCTTGTACAACCGGAAGTTTTTATGTACTAGCCAGGATGGCGTGATTGATGACGAATCGCTTGTAAAAATGCGGACAAATATATGCTTGAAAAATGCGGACAAATATTTGCTTGAGTGACGGCTTCTGCTGTACCTTCTTATTCTGTGATTTGGCGATCGGCATCCTAAGTAGTGCTTACACTTTCCAAAGTTGAAACTTAGCTGACCGGAAACTGGGCTACTATAGCCTGAATACACACCTTCGTTTTGCTCGCCCTGAAATTCGCGGGTGGGAGGCGCAAAACGAAGGTCTGATGAAAATCCAACCCCGTATACGAGGTTGATGAAAAACGAAAATCATGTCAAAACGCTCTACCGCCCACTTTGCATTTTGCAATAATTAACGATGATGATTGACATATTTACATGTAACACGTAAAAATACAACGAAAGTTGCGACCTCGTACCCAGGGCTTCTGCGCTTATTGCTCTCAGATGCCCTGGGATAATCCAACTCAGAACGTGATTTGATTGGTCAATGCGAATACAATGAAAGTACTGGAAGTTATTCATTAACCGGGTGATATTTTGGCAACATGGCTGCTATCGCAGGGAGTGTATACAAAAGTTAAATGCTGGTTTTTGCATGAAAATACTTTTTTAAACCAAATTCTGGGCTATTTTGAAAAGAGCAAAAAAAAGAAATGGACTATTTGTATTTGTAAATATAAGCAAGAATGGCGAACAAAGTAAAAAATTAACATAATAAAGCGAAACATTTCTCGGTCGAAAATTGAAATTTCAGTATAAATCTACAATTAACTTCAACCACGATATTCAATGTAAATATTACATAATAAAGTTTTTAATACCTTTTTTACCTTTATTTGATAAATTGTGTGTTCTATATTATTGCATTTTGTATTGGAATAGGATAAATTATTAATTATACACAAATATTTAAATTTACAAATTATTCCCAATTTGAGGATGCTGGGTGCACTGGCTCAGAGTTTGTATTAGTGCCTATTTATTATTGAGTTATTAGTGCCTCTAAGTCTCTAATGTACAAACATTGTAATCTGTTACTTAATACCATAAAGAAAATGTTGATAGCACATATATTAAATGACTATTAATCAAAATGAACTAAATTTTCGACCATTATATAGCATATTTCCCCCAATATTGAGGGAATAATTTCTCCTATTTATTTTTATAATAAGCCAATATTGCCCAATTGTGAAGTAAATATTGCCAGACTAGCCTAGTCTGCCCAACAATTGAGTCCAGCCCTGTACGCCTATGACCAGGCCTACAGGTGGACCCCCAACCTGATTGGTCACAATTTTTCTTTCTCCAAAATTTCCCCTCCCCATGTACAAGGATTGACAATTTGACAGTTTGATTAGATTTGGAAAAAAAACACAGTTATATTGGGTCATTCCAGAAAACACCCATACCACTCCCGTGCAGAGGAAATTGAAAGTTAATCCCTCCTACCCCTTTGGATGTCCTAATATATTTACTATTATCAGAAAAATTTCCCCCCCCCCCTCCCCCTCTGAACGGCAGAAATTTCCTCTGTGGGGGGAGTGTGGATCTTTTCTGGAACGACCTATTTGAGAAATGCTTTTGCACAAATTTTAAATTTTCTTACAATTTTCTTGTATGTCAGAACACTGTTCTAAGTTGCAACTAAAATTCAGAGGTCTAAAAGGCTCAAGTCAATTTCAGTGGTGTAGCCAGAGGGGGGGGGGTCAAAATATTTTAAATGTTCTGGACTTGTTTGTAATTAAGTAGAGTTTAACATGTGTTAACTGCATAGTTATTTCAAATCACCAAAACACATTAAAATAGCCCCCAAAAATGGCACTATTAACTAGAATTGAAAAAGTCTACATTGTACTATATTATACATGGATAGAAATTGGGAGTCCAAATATATTTTTACATAATAACAAACTTTATTCGAACTAGTGCAGGCCCCTCCTGGGGATTTCAGTCCCCCTTGAAGGCCTTAATTAGAAATCCTGGCTACATCACTGCTCAATTCCATTGCCAATGATGGTGTTAGCATATTAGACAGAGTAGGTTAATTAACAAACTAGTGTGTATTATGAGATAATCCATTGAATACCAGTGATCTATCCCAACATATAAAATCATCTGGTGTTAGACAGTCAGAGTAAAATAAAAAGTAGGTCACAATGTATAACTTAATACGTAATTAAGGTTAATGGCCAGAACTAAATGATAAACAATATATTATAATAAACTCAAATTAGTTCAGCACCATTGGTTCTTATAACACTGTTCATTCCAATACTAGAACATCAATTGTCATTAATTAAAATGTATTTCAGTTGGCAATTAACAAAAGTTGGAGTTTCATCCCATGACATGTATGCTTCTAACCAATACCATACTGTCCATGCAGCTATCTGACAGTTTTTAATTTTCAACATTTCTGTTTCATGTACTCAACGTTCAAACTTTTTAATATCAACCTTGCATAATATACAAACTCTCTAGTCTCTGCATTTGTTTCCACGCCTTAATTCCTATATTGTTTTTCTTTATATCCCCAGTCATCTGTCAATCACAGTAACCTAATATCAAACCTATTATTACTATTAACTAGTAATCATATTATAACGTATATTTAGTACATATTGTAACATCCTCCCCGTTTTGCAGTTCCGCCTTCCGTTGTATCTCTGGCTCTGATGCCAGTGCTCTTAAAGAGTCTGTGACTGTGTCCACACTTTAAGATTGTCAATTTTAACGTTTATCATGTTTATCCCAGTGCATAGTCAGCAAAATATGCTGGTGTTTTGCGTACACGTTGTGGACGTACTGGCTTAGAAGTCTCAGGCTGATGTTTGGCTGGGCAAAGTGTTCCTGGTTCCTTTCTCATCGGTTCCAAGCCTGGACTTGGTAGTTTCTCTACGATTCCATTATCCTCCTTGGGACTTTCGCAGTCTGTTTCAATATCAACTTCCCCGACTTCACTTTGTACAGGAGCTGACTCTGCAGTCTTTCTGAGGTGATACCGATTACGGCGATATCTAGTTCCTTCAGCGGTCTCTACAATGTACGATCTATCATCACTTCTCTGTACCACTACACCTTTCTCCCAAATACGGACCGCAGGCTTCGATGGCTTGATCCGAACTACCTCCCCTTTTTTCAGTTTTGGTAGGTCTTTAGCATTACGATTGTAATAATGCGCTTGGGTCTCTTGTTTTTCCTTGATCTTTTGCTGTTGTTCCGCGGGACATGCTACTGTTGGACGTAGCAATGTTTCTTTGGTTGGCAGCAACGTTTTCGTTCTTCGATTTAAGAACCCCTGAGCAGGACTTGTGGTCATTCCTTGCGTAGGAGTATTCCTTTGGTCGAGGAGAGCTAGATGTATATCTCCGTTGCTATCTCGTGCTTTGCGTAGAAGCTGCTTGGCTACTTTTACGGCCGCCTCGACTTTCCCGTTAGCTTTACTATTCCAGGGGCTTATGGTACGGTGCTCGAATTCCCACGCTTTGGCAAAAGTGGCGAATGCTTCGCTGGAAAATTGTGGGCCATTGTCACTTATTACTGTTTCTGGACAGCCGTATCTGGCGAAATGTCGTTTAAGTTTGGCGATCACGGCAGGGGCGGTTGTGGTTGATAGTTCGTCAATCTCCCAAAAGTTGCTGTAGTAATCCACTGTGATGAGGAACTCTTTGTTATTGTAGGTGAACAGATCAGTTGCAATTTTCTCCCACGGACGGCTGGGAATTTCGTGAGATTTCAGTGTTTCTTTCGTTTGACCGCTGCTAAATTTATGACACGTGTCACATGCTTCTACAAGTTGACGTATTTCTGCTGACATACCCGGCCAAAAAATGCATTCTCTCGCTCGGCGCAAACACGACTCAGTTCCCATATGGGATGAGTGTATCTTTTGCTTCATAAGCTGGCGTAAACCCGTCGGAATCACGACACGTTCACCTCTGAAGATAAGCCCATGCTCGACCGTAAGTTCGTCTCTCATGCTAAAATAAGGCAGGACTTGTGGAGGCAGAAATTTCTTATCTTCAGGCCATCCTTGAAGAATGACACCCTCTAGTGCTCGCAAAGTTTTATCACGTTGTGTTTCTGCTCTGATTTGATCCAACTGCGATTTGGAGATTGGAAGAAAACTCAACGCGTTCACGTCTTCAAACTGGCTGTGTTCTGGATCTTTTGCTGTTGGTATGTACGCTCTTGACAGTAAGTCTGCTAGCAGCATATTCTTTCCTCGCTCGTAGCTCACTTCGACATTGTACTTCTGCAACCTCATCATCATACCTTGGAGTCTTTTCGGCGCTTGTGATAACGGTTTTTTCATGATCGATTCGAGTGGTTTATGGTCGCTGTATACATGGACTGGACGACCAAACGTATATTGGGGAGATCTCTCTAGAGAGAAGACTATCGCCAACATCTCCTTTTCCATTTGGGCATAACGCTGTTCGGTTGGCGTCAGGGCACGGCTAGCATAGGCAATCGGCTTACCTTGTTGCAACAAGGCCGCGCCAAGTCCCTTGTGACTTGTATCACACTGGATCTCTAGTGGTAGGGTTGGGTTATAGTAGCTGACGACTGGCGACTCTGCAACCATCTCTTTGACTTTACCGAATGCTCGTTCTTGCTCATCGGTCCATTGCCACACAGTATCTTTCCGTGTTAATCTTCGAATTGGTTCCATGGCCTCTGCCATATGCGGCAGGAACTTGGCCAGATAGTTGACAAAGCCATTAAGCCGCTGGGCATCCTCAATATTCTGTGGTTTCGGCATCTCCTTTATAGCCCTCACTTTTTCCGGGTCGGGTTCTAATCCGTTGGCTGTAAGTATGTGTCCCATGAATTTCACTCGCGTAACACGTAACTTTAGCTTGTCTTGGTTTAACACCATACCCCGCTCTTCACATCGTTCCAGTAAAGCTTGCAGTTTCCTGTCATGGTCAGCATTTGCAATTTCTTCGGTTTCGCCCACGCCATAGATTAGAATATCATCTGCGATATTCAGAACGCCATCTAGGCCTTCGATCGCTTGGTTGATCCGCTTCTGGAAAATCTCAGGAGAAACCGATAACCCAAACGGTAGTCGAAGCCATCGGTATCTGCCATATGGAGTTGAAAAGGTGGTTAACAGGCTGGAATATTCATCCAAAACACAATGCCAAAATCCGGACCAAAGATCCACTGTTGAAAAACTTTGGCTTGCGCTAGCTCAGGTAAAAGTTCGTCGAGGACAGGCATTTGGTATGTTTCTCTCTTAAGGGCCTTGTTCAAGGGTCTGGGATCTATACAAACTCGGAGTGCACCAGACTTCTTGGTTGTCACCACTACGCTAGTCACCCAGGGGGTGGGCTGTTCAACTGGTGCTATGATCTTGTCTTTTACTAGTTTGTCCAATTCATTCTTGAAGGGTTCTTTCAATGCTGTAGGAATACGACGCGACGGTACTATTACTGGGTGTGCCTCCGGCTCGACTTCAAGATGTACTGTCCCCGGGAAAGTACCAACTGGTCGCTCAAATACCTCCGGAAACGCTTGAACTAATTTTGCTGCGGAGGTGACATGCTTAACACTAGGCAGTGTTTTGTTAGATGGTGGTGCTGGCATGAAATTCTCCTTGTGCACTGTTAATAACTTCATGTGCTGAGCTGCTTTAGCCCCGATCAGTGGCAGTAGACCTGTACTGCCAACAATGAATTCCACCGAATATTTCTTCCTGTTTTCAGGATTACGGATTATGAGCCTAACAGAACCGAGGGCGTTTACTTCTGACTTATTCCACATTAAAAGCTTTGTGTTGGTTGGTTTTACAGTACAGTCTCCGATCAGATCTTGCGTGATGACGTTGATTGACGCACCACTATCTACTTGAAACCGGATGGCTTTGTTGTTAATTTCCATCATAGCATAAACTTCTCTTGCGTAACGTGAATTCCCGACCTCTACCGCATTAATATTAGTTGTAATACTCGTTACAAACTCAATGTCACTCGTTTCAGACTCTTCTGATGCTCCGCCAAGTTGTTTTACAGATGCGTCCTGCTGCTGTTCATATCTTTGCTTGAGGCACTTTCTAGCAAAGTGATTTCCTCCGCCACATTTGCGACAACGCTGTCCCCATGCTGGGCACTGCTCTTTCTGTAATGCGTGCTCGCCACCACAAAATTTACAAATCGTACTCCGGGTTTCTGTTCAGCGCTACGCCCTTGTCTGGATTGGCGCGACTTCCGCTGATTATTGTGACCCCCCACTTTGTTTACATTGTCTACTTCCGGTCCTGAAACCGCCTTGAACTGGTTTGATGCTGCTTCAATACTGCGACAAATATCTACACACTTTTTAAGAGTTAATTTACGTTCCTGCAGTGGGCGTTTCCTAAGATTCTTGTTATTTACTCCTAGCACAATTCTGTCTCTTAAGAGTGTGTCTTTGAGACAGTCACAAAAGTTGCATGTTTTCATTAATTTACGTAACTCCGTAATATACGCCTCAATAGACTCTGATTCGCCCTGATTTCGGCTATTAAATACGTACCGTTCGTAGGTTTCGTTAACTTCCCCAATCGTATACTCGTCAAATTTCTCCAAGATTTTAGATAGTTCTGCCGATCTTCGTCCGACTCAAAAGACAAACCATTGTATACTTTGAGCGCCTCCTCGCCCAGACAGTGAAGAAATAACGCTGTCTTGAACTACTCGGGCTGTGCCGCCAAATTCGCTACAATTGCATAGTTCTCCCATCGTTGTTTATAACTTTTCCAGTTTTCAGTTATATTGTCCTTTAAATTGAGATTACTTGGTGGTTTTATGCCGGCTAGCATTACAGGAACTACCGGCGCACTCGCTTGCACATTGTGTTGATTTGTCTCTTGTGGCTGTATCGTAACTTCAGCGCTTGGGCTCGCTTCGCTAGTTTCCCTTTCCTGGGTTTCCATTCTATCTATATTTATCAAATCACTGCGAGAATATCACCGCTGCTACCATGTTTCATGTACTCAACGTTCAAACTTTTTAATATCAACCTTGCATAATATACAAACTCTCTAGTCTCTGCATTTGTTTCCACGCCTTAATTCCTATATTGTTTTTCTTTATATCCCCAGTCATCTGTCAATCACAGTAACTTAATATCAAACCTATTATTACTATTAACTAGTAATCGTATTATAACGTATATTTAGTACATATTGTAACAATTTCCAAAGCCATTATTCTCAAGATTTGCCAAAAAGGTTTTCCAAATAATCACAAATCAGTATCACTCATCACTGTTTATTTTACATTCTTCAAGTAGATGCATGTTTACAGTACAGTATATCCTGTGTATTTATAATTAAATCTTGCAATATCTTGTTCAAAACCCTCAAATCCAAGATAATCGGCAGCCAGCCATGTTACCAGTAAGATTTCTAGTTTGTTGACTTTGAAATGACCAAGGTTGTACTCGAGTATAAATATTTATACTTTAATTATTGACTAGCCCCTGTATATCGCTGACAAGGTATGCTTTGTCGCGATAAAAGATGTTCTTTTCCTCGCCAAAGGGCTTCTTTTACGCATCTCTAAATTGATCATTCCTGACTTTAAATTCCAAAAGCCACGCGAGAAGCAGCATAAGACGTCTTTACAAGTCCAAATTTATTATAAATTGCAACAAATAATCATTCTCACTCCTTGCGTAAAAATATGCCCAGTCAGCGTTTTTAGCTGAAGTTACTGTTTACTTCCACTTCCGGGTGCACCAATGTTCATTGGTGTTCCGGTTTGGATAATCCCACAATCTCGAAACCAGAGCCCGCAATCCTCTGTGGAGGCTTGCTGAGGCTCTGGGAAACACCGGCGACTTTTGCACGAAAATCAGTACATTTGGATCCAGTACTCCGCTCGACATTTATAAATAGACATTACCGCCGTCAAACATGAATTATGCCGTTGTTTAAGCTTATTACGACTATAATTCTTCAAAAAACACTTGCCATGATTTTGAATTGTTGTAAGATACTGGTAGTGATTTATTTTAACTTGTTTAATTACGGTAAATCATGGATTGTTGTGTTATTTTAAATATTATAGGCAACGGCTTATCATGACCTAATATGGTAATGCAACAGGTAGGCAATTTGTCTGAGCATGCGTGCAGAAAATCAATATGGCGACGTATATTAGGAGTGTTTCGTGGATTTATCTGGTATTAAAGCTGATAAAACAACATTTTAATGAACGAAAACTTTGTAATATTTAGTGGAAAGCATTAAGCTGTGCATTCTAAAGGTTTTAAATTAAAAAAAGTACTTTTGCTTTATTTTATTGCTTTTTATGCTTTGTAAACAGGCAAGCTCATATTTGTTTGAAAAAATCTTATTTAATATTTTACCCATTATTTGTTTAATCTGAACAAAAATAGATAGAACACTTGGCCATATAAGTTATAAAGGTATTGTTAGCTGATCTGAAAGATTTCAGTATTTCAGGTACAAATTTTAACAAAGAATAAAATTAAAATATATGCATATCAAAAACAATAGTTTTTATTAGAACAACACAGACTAAGTTGTTATTTTCCATAGTTTACAAAAAACAAGTTTGAAAACAAGATATGTCATATTCCATTTATTTGGATATTTGAATAAAGGAATGTGAAATAATAATTGAAACTTGACCAAAATTTGATACCAACATTGGAGTGAATAGAAACTATCACCTAAAAATAAAAGAAAACAGAACTTAAATTTATCATATAATGCTATGAAAATCTTAGATATTACAAGCATATAGTGAACACAACTCTTTAACAAATTCACTAAAATAAGTTAAGTTGTGCTACGATAAGAGGATGGCAATGGTAAACAGATCCAACATTGAAATAAGCCCCATTCGGGACCTCATAGGGTCCAAAATATTGTGTATGGACAAGATTTTTTTCAATTTTCTGTGATTTACATAACACTAGTTATAATTTAAGGCTCAACCAGTATTGTTGAAGACATATTTTCCTTCTAGAACACCTTTTCAAAATACTAACCCAAGCATGTCAAAAATAGTGTACATTTACAAGGGCAATTTCAACCCTTTGGCACATTTTTCCCATGAATGATTTTAATTCTAATATAAAGACTATAGATAAAATTTTAATTTGAAGCTAGTTTCAAGTGATGAGCATACCCTAAATTTTAAACTATACCTCAAAGAAGATAGGTCATTTTTACATAAACATTGAAATATGGGTATACTGACAGCTCTGTCACACGTGTAGTTTGACATTAGCAGACCTTCCGAAACAATTTAATAAAAGTATAATTCACAAAGTTCACAATTTCACTTACTTCTTAACATCTGTTTTAATCCAACTAGCTCTGTAGGCACGAGCAAAATTTAGTGTTGATGTAAATATCCATTTTGTTCATGTTTCCCCGGTGAAAATATAGTCTATTCCAAAGCTGATTTCGACGTACTTTAGCTTTTCAGAAACCGTTGGCCTTCCTCAGTGAGATTATCAACGGTTTCACAAACATATTTGATAGTAAACAGCTAAAATATTCTCTGAAAGTCTATATTTTTGCTCTTCGACGCGAAAATGGAAACTCAAGAAGAAATGAGCCGCTATTTTTGGTCAGCGTCGACAAATTGCCTACCTGTGTAACCTGTTTGGTAATGCTGCACTGTTGTTATTCTAATTTTGTTATTTATAGCATATCAATATCAGAAATAGAATAGTCTTTTGATTTCATATGAGAAGCTAGGAAAGCTTAATAAAGCTTAATAAGTTTATTAATGTTATGCTGTGTGTTTCATTGATATGTTTAAACATAATACACAAAGAGAAATAAACTTTATATTAATTTTAAACGATGTTTGAAATCCGAATAACTAAATACGGCTCAAAGTTTGAATAATAATTAGCACTTGAAAAACTTTGAGGGCCGCTTGGGCTTGGGGACGAGGATGTTGAAAAAACAACCAATCAGAGCCCGACTTTCACCGGTGTTTCCCAAAGCCTCAGCAAGCCTCCACAGAGGATTGCGGGCTCTGGTTTCGAGATTGATTATCCCAGGGCTTCTGAGAGCAATAAGCGCAGGTACGAGGTTGCGAAAGTTGTCGATTCACTTTATTGAAAGTTTGTAAACAAAGTAAGAGTCGATGTTACAGATGTTTGAATAAATATTAAAAATATTGGTAGCCCCATGCAGTATGTTGCTTTTATGTACTCTTAACCCTTGCAATCAAACAGTTACAGCTACTGTAGTAATAATACAACATTTTCAACACATTATATAAATGCAAGAAAATCTGCGTACGCAAATTTGGCAATGGCCATGTCCCATTGTTGAATTGCATCCAAACAGGATCAAACTCTTACAATTTATACATTTTGAAACCGCCATACAATGCTAAAACTAAATAAAATATTTTGTACGTGCTATGTTATCGAAATGCAAATATAAACGCACTATTGCACTGACACCGAAGTTTACTGATAAAGAAATAAGCGAAATTAAAATAAATTCAGTACCAAATAACACAAAAGACTTGTGTAAAAATACTAAAACAATTATTCGCCTTCGCCTTATCGGGGAATCTTCACCTCGACTTCGTCTCGGCGAATATTTAACAATTATTCACCGAAGGCGAAGTGATTACGTAAACGTTATTTTGAGGCAACGAGGGGATATGCATGTGATTTATTCACCGAGACGATGTCGAGGTGAATATTAAGCATAATCACTGAGCCTGAGGCGAATAATTGTTTTAGTATAAATTTTTAATGAAAACAAAATATCCGAATTTCAGTTCAATTAAATTTCTGAAATAAAACTGTTTTCGACCTGTTCACTAATAAGTGTTGCAGTGTTTCTTGTACGCACACGCTTTCAAAATGGCTTCTTGTGTGACTTTATTGCTTTATTACAAAGTTGTTTTTTTCGATTTCTGCTTGGAATATAAACACAATAACGCAATGACTCTTTCACCAGACTTGGCTGAGGAATTTGGTAAAATGAAATGTAAAGCTATATCGTTCGAAATAAAGTTTTAATAACACTTTTTACTTTACAAGTTTCCAAAACACAATACAGCGGTCATAACACCATACAGCACAATGAAAACATGACATATCAAAAGCCAATTAAATAGTATCGTACTGACAAATTGGGAAATCTATAGGCAGCGTACTACGGCAGCCCAGACGCGACAGCACATGATTAAACATTAAAAAATCCAAATATATCAAAGACAAAACCAAAAAAATAAAAAACTCAAAAAATACAAAAATCTAAAATTACAAAAATCTAAAAATACAAAAACCGTTTTTGTGCTGTCGCGTCTGGGCTGCAGTAGCATACAAAATAAAATGGATTTTAAAGAATATCACGGCAAGGTTTTTCCCAAAAGTCGGGATGGTTTTTGCTATTTGTTTGAAGTGAATGTTTCGGAGTTTTAAATAAGTTTTAAATTGTCCGTGAATATGTTTGACACAGTAAAATTATAAAGGAATCCTGCCTTTCAAGTTAAATACAACATTTTGTGCTTCTTTTGTTTTCTGGGAACGATTTTTTCAATACTTTGTCGATTTTGAAACCAAATTTGCCGAATCATTCTTTTTGAAAAGCATTAATTATTTACTGCCCATGTGGAACCCATGTGGTACTAATAATGCCTCAGATTTACTAGTCAGCTAGCCAATCTGAACGCGCGTAAGCTCATTTGATATGCCAAATTTTTCTAATTAACAGAAATTCACTGAAGCTAATTTATTACACATTAGTGTATCCATATCTTATTTATGGCAACTTGATTTGGGGTAATACCTACAAAACCCGAATTCAAAAAATATTGAATATTCAAAAAAAAATTGTGCGTTTGATAACTTTTAGATCTTACTCGGAACATACAGAACCTATATTCAAAGAATTATGCATTTTAGATATTTTCAAAATAAATGATTACCTAACTGCTTTGTTTATGTATCGATACTATTATCTTAAAAATTTACCAGAAGCATTTGAAAATTATTTTATAACAAACAATGAAATTCATAACTACAATACAAGAAATGCAACAAAACTACACAAGTGTTGTAAAAGAACTAATTATGTCATACATACTCTTTCTAACAAAGGGGTTAATCTATGGAATACATTAGATACAAAATTCAAAAGATTAAACTCCTACAATGTCTACAAAAGATTAATCAAACAACATGTTATAGTGAGCTAGATCTTCTTCAACTTATATGCAATGACCACAGATATACAGCAACCGTTAATTCTATAGCGAAAATTGTGTAATCTTGTAACTGTATATTATGATATAATATCCTTCTTTTGTAAATAGTATATACTTTTAGGTCTTACTTCAATAATTACTCTTCACTGTAAATATATATGCAATTTTTTTTTTAAACCTAACTAGTGGCCTACATTAAAAAGCCTGAAAAGGTTTCCAGTAGGTCTCTAGCCCAACACCTTCAAACTACACATAGTATTTGTTACTTATTATTGTACATACACATGGGAAATAAATATATATTGATTGATTGATTATCGGTGAATAAAAACCGAGACGAAGTGGAGGTTTTAATTAACGATAATCACCGAGCCTGAGGTGAATAATTGTTTTAGTATAATTTCATAGGTGATTATTTGGAAAAAAAATTTAAAATGCACATTTCTTCGTCATTTAATTGACAAAACAGCTTCGGCCGCCATTTTGAAAATCGCTTAGGTGATTATCGCGTAATAATGACCTCAACGGCGACCATTCAGCGTGGAGAATTTTCAATAATCACCTATGTAATTATACTAATCCCCGATAATCACCAAGTCTGAGGCGAATAATTGTTTTAGTATTTTACACAAGTCTTTTGAGGGTTTTTTTTTGGGACAGAATTTATTTTAATTTCGCTTATATTTCCTCATCAGTAATTTCCAGAAAACGGCTAGCCGCCATTTTGAAAATTTCCGTTTTGTTATATTCACTTGAGGTGAATATAACAGCTTAATACGTCAAATTTGACCAATCCACTTGTATAGGTTTTATTATATTCACTTGGGCAAAAATAGTAATTATTTTTATTAGTTGATAGTTTTACTGCGCAGTGTGTAGAAAATAATTGACATTATCGCGATAAATTATGCATGACGTAGAAATTATGCATGACGTAATGATGGCGCAATGTGCTGTTTTTGTAATCTGTATGTTTTGAAGTTCTGATCGAGGTTTATCAAGAAAATAATCAACATTTATCGAAGTTTATCAGAAGTAATCAACATTTTATTTTATGGTGCAGACTCCCGGGAAGTATTGAGTCTAATTTAGAGTAAATTCAAGTGTTTAAAGTTGGAATTTTATCGAAATATTTATATTGAATCTCGTTGAAATATATCAAGTATGGCGGATGTCAAGAAGAAAATCAAGGCACGTCAAGGCCACCGTACATTTGTAGAAAGCGTTATGACAAAATCTCGTGAGTTGATTGCTGGTGAAATTACAGAAGATATCTGTCGGAAGCTACAAGTAAATAAACGAATTTTAGAAGGTAAAATTGCTCTCTTGGAAAGTATAAATGGTGAAATTGTCGATCTTTTGAACGCGAAAGATAATATCGAGAAGGAAATTATTGATAGCTCAGAGTTTAATGCCACAGTCGACGAATGCCTCGTTCAAATTGATATTGTATTGACGGAAAGTGCAAAAGTTCAAGTGAGTCCACATCAACCAGTTCTTACACCAAGTACTGCACCTATCAAGGCTAAATTACCTAAGTTGTCTCTGAATAAATTCTCGGGTAATCCTGTTGACTGGCAGGCATTTTGGGATTCGTTCGATTCTGCAGTTGGGTCAAACTCGTCATTAAGTGATGTGGACAAATTCAATTACTTGAAATCATTATTACATGGTTCTGCAGCAGAAACAATCAGTGGATTTTCGCTTACAAAGGAAAATTATTGTGAAGCTATCAAATTACTAAAAGAAAGATATGGGAATAAGCAAGTTGTTATTTCAAGTCAAATGGATTCCTTGTTGAAATTGCCCGAAGCTACATCAATGGGTGAGGTGAAGAAACTGAGAAATATTTATGACAAGTTGGAATCACATGTTCGAAGTCTACGAAATGTTGGTGTTTCTCCAGATACATATGGTTCATTTCTTGCTCCAGTTGTTATGTTAAAGATTCCAGAAGAATTGAGGATTATTATTACAAGGGATTTGCCATCTGGTGAGTGGAAATTAGAACCACTTCTCAAGATATTTAATACAGAATTGCAACTGCGAGAGAAATGTGCCCTTGTCAGTGGTACTGGTCAGCGGAAAGAACAACATTTCAGTCAAAGAGACAAAGGGAAATATATCAATCGTTATCAATCATCTACAGCTGCCTTGCTAACAGAGAACAAAAATGTTCAATCAAGGGAAGGGCCATGGTGTACATTTTGTAATGGGAACCATCCATCATCTAACTATACGATTGTGACCGATATCTCTGCTAGAAAGCAGATTCTGCGTCGACGGGGTAAGTGCTTCAAATGTCTTAAAACTGGCCACTTAGTTAGAGATTGCAAATCGGGAAAACCCTGTTATAACTGTGGTAATAATCATCATACATCCATATGTGAAACCCGTAGTAAGCCTAAGACCTACACCCCACAATCAGTTAACCCAAATATACCACAACAAAGAAATCCTCCATTTGTACCCTTATGTCCATCAACAAATATGTTTGTACATCAACCCCCATACTACCCAGTTGGCCCACCTTGTCATTCCAATACCCCACATGTACCAAATGCCTCTGCATTTCCATTTACACCACAACAGACAAATGTATCATCCAGCAACCCATTTGTACCAACCTATCCAGCAAAAAACATGCATGCACCTCAATTTCCATACTCCCCAATTTGATTCTGAAGCCATCGGAACACCATCAACCAGTATGTTTGTTAGTACAAAAAATAATGTGCTCTTACAAACTGCTAGAGCTCAAGTGTCACATGTGGAAACACCTGGTAGCACACAGAATATTAGAATGATTTTTGATAGCTGTAGCCAGCGGAGTTATGTGACAGAAAGACTCCAGAAATCCCTAGGCCTCCCTTCGAGTGGTAGTGATACCTTGTTGATAAAAACCTTTGGCGAGTCGCATGCCCAACTGAGGAAGTGTGACATTGTCCAACTAGCGATCAAGACTCCAAGTAGGGAAAGAGTTTATGTTACTGCCTACGTTGTGCCCACCATTTGTTCACCCATTAGTAACCAATCCATTAATTTGCATCAACATCAGTACAGTCATTTACAATCATTGAAGTTGGCAGATGACATAACCCACTCATCAGATCTGAATATCGATTTATTAATTGGTGCTGATTACTATTGGTCGTTTGTCTCTGGGGAAGTTGTTCGTAATGATTCTGGTTTGGGTCCAGTTGCATTGAGTACCAAATTGGGTTATGTTCTATCAGGTCCTGTCCAAGGTGAAAGCTGTACAAATGAGTCGACTGTGAATCTTAGTGAGACCCATGTTCTAAGGGTAGTATCTGAAGTTGTTCAAGAGAACACACTTGAACAAGATATCAAAACATTCTGGGACTTAGAATCTCTTGGAATAAAGTCGAATGAGCCAGCTGTTTATGACAAATTCTAAAACGATATCACATTTGATGGTGAAAGATATGAAGTCAGACTGCCCTTTAAAGAAACCCATCCACCACTGCCAGACAACTATCAGTTGAGTAAGACAAGATTGGAAAGTCTTGTGCGACGTCTTAAGTCAAATCCAGAATTGTTAAGACAGTATGATCAAGTCATTCAGGAACAACTTCAAGTCAACATTATCGAACCAGTATCTAATGAAGAAAGATTCACTAAGAAAGATTCACCAAGAAGGATTCACTACCTGCCTCACCGAGCGGTTCTACGTGCGGATAAAAATACAACTAAGCTTCGTGTCGTGTACGATGCGTCTGCAAAGAAGGATGGTCCAAGTTTAAATGACTGTTTGTATGCAGGGCCATCTCTCGCTCCATTAATCTTTGATATTCTATTGAGATTTCGCCTGCAGAGCATTGGCATCACAAGCGATATTGAAAAGGCATTCTTAAATGTCTCAATTGCACCAGATGATCGAGATTTTCTACGGTTTCTTTGGATAGACGACATAACAAAGGACAATCCAGAAATTGTTATCAGAAGATTCACAAGAGTTGTCTTTGGGGTTAACTCGAGCCCTTTTCTGTTAAACGGAACAATCAGTCACCACATAAATTCCTACAAGGATATAGATCCTGATTTCGTTGAAGAAGTGCTCAAATCGTTGTATGTCGATGATTTCGCATCATCAGCCTCAAATGTATCCGAGGCTTATTCATTGTACGACAAGTTGAAGAAAAGATTTAAGGACGGAGGTTTTAATATGCGTAAATGGCAAACGAACAGCGACGTATTGGGGAAGAAGATTGCCAGCATTGAAGGGTCTGATGCGACCAAGACATGCGAGGATTGGGAAGAAGATCAGAGCTACTCGAAGACAGGTTTACCACAAGCGAATCCTGAGGAAGAGTTCCCAAAGGTTCTCGGCATAACCTGGAATACAAAGAGCGACAAGTTGGTATTCAGTTTTGACGGTCTGACTATGTATCTGACAGAAGAATCAGTTACAAAACGAATTGTGTTAAGTTCATCGCTAAGGTGTACGACCCTCTTGGACTTTTGTCCGCCATTACGACCGTACTTAAAATACTGTTTCAAGCCATTTGCATGATGCAGCGAAATCGTGGAAATCCGCGTTGACTAATATGAAAGAAACCTCGACAGTCGATTTGAATCGATGCTATAGCCCTCAGATTGATCGAAAGGAAATCAGATCAGTAGAATTACACGGATTCGGTGACGCTTCGGAGAAAGCGTACGGAGGAGTAGTGTATATTCGTATCAGAACAGGAACGCTTGTTTCGTGTCAACTCGTTGCATCCAAGTCAAAAGTCACTCCCATAGGTGGAGAAACAATTCCGAGGCTAGAACTGTTATCAGGGCTGGTGCTTGCAAGATTAATGTCACATGTTCGACGTAAATACAAGATTGATCGCGTTGTCTGTTGGTTGGATTCAGAGATTGCCCTGTGGTGGATTACAGGGACAGGAAAAGAGTATAAACTGTTTATTCAAAATCGAGTTGTAGAAATTAGGAAGTTAATTGATCCGAAATCGTGGCGTCATGTGCCAACCGACCAAAATCCCGCGGACGTTCTTTCTCGTGGTTCACTTGCATCGGAATTGAAAGAAATGCGTAGTTGATGGTGTGGTCCGGACTTCCTGCAAGGTGACGAGTCTGGCTGGCCAAAGAATACCAAGTTTCAAGGGGATAATTTCGTAGATCAATTGCCCGAATTTGAAGAAATACAATCTGTGTCTACAACCTTGGTTCAGGATGAGAAATCAACTATTGGCGAGTTAATCGATTGTCAGAATTACAGCGATTATGAGAAACTCGTTCGTGTCACCTGCTACGTGGTTCGCTTCTTAAAAAGTGTGCGGAAAATGAAAGAACACCGACCATCATCCTCGGAGCTAGACGAAATCGAATTGCCCGAAGCAGAAATTTTGTGGATAAAAGACGCCCAGAGATACTTTCGAGCAGAGCCTAATTTCAAGCAAAGAAAAAGGTCGTTGCGACTATTCGAAGATGAGGATGGAATTTTAAGATCGCAAGGAAGACTGGATTTCACTCGATTACCTTACTGTACACGTCATCCAGCAGTTTTGCCAAGGGGTCATCATCACAACACTGATCGTTAGAAAATGTCATAGCCGAGTCATGCACAATGGGGTTAACGAGACACTGGTCGAATTACGATCCAAGTATTGGGTAGTTAAGGGAAGACAGGAAGTTCGAAAGGTAATTTCCAGATGTACTACATGCAAACGAATTGAAGGTAAATGTTACCGAGCACCATTGCCACCTCCACTACCTCGATTTAGAGTGTCCGAAGACTTCGCTTATACGCAGTTGGGAGTGGACTTTGCAGGTCCGGTGTACGTAAAGAATGTTTACACTCGAGCTAAGACGACGTACAAGGCTTACATCGCCTTATTTACATGTGCCTCTACACGCGGCATTCATTTGGAACTAACTCCTGATCTTTCTGAGCAAGCTTTCGTTCGAAGTCTACAGCGTTTCATAGGACGACGCGGAGTACCTAGCTTCCTTGTATCGGACAATGGGAAGACTTTCAAGAATTCTACTCATTTATTGATTAATGACAATGGACAGTTGATTGACCTTGGTCAATCAAGGGGGGAGTGTGTAGAAAATAATTGACATTATCGCGATAAATTATGCATGACGTAATGATGGCGGAATGTGCTGTTTTTGTAATCTGTATGTTTTGAAGTTCTGATCGAAGTTTATCAAGAAAGCAATCAACATTTATCGAAGTTTATAGAAGTTATATTTCAGAAGTAATCAACATTTTATTTCACGCTCTAATTGTGATGTTTGTTACTTTAATGCAACCTCGTACCCAGGGTGACTTTAATGCTGATTTCAACCTCGTACTCAGGGCTTCTGCGCTTATTACTCTCAGAGAGCAATAAGCGCAGAAGCCCTGGGTACGAGGTTGTGCTGATTTTTGAAATTTCTCTAGCTTCATTCTTGATATCTTGCTTTTCCTTAAAAATTTCCTGTGAGATTAAAAACATTTCCTGGCAGCATGCTGCCATGCTGGCGGACTTTCTCATGCCTTGCCGACAACCCTCGCCCCCGCCCCCACCCCCATTTGCACTCGAAAAGGTTGTTTTTAGCCCTCTTTTAAGTCAAAATTTCCAAAAAGCCGGCAATTTTCCGTTAAGGTAGGGGGAGTGGGCGTCGTCCCCACCCACCCGACCGAGATTTTCTTCACTGATTAAATCCATTTCTAGATTATCCAACATTACATTCACAGTCAAAAAAAGCCATGTAGACATTACAGGTAGCATTGGTATGACATATGTTGAAACATTTATCAATATCTGCAAAGAAGATATAGAAATAAAAAGAATATGTGATGATCGAAAACATACCTGGAGCTTGAGTTGTCGTTGCTTCAGTTGTTATTACTTCAGTTGTTGTTGCTTCAGTTGTTGTTGCTTCAGTTGTTGTTTCTTCAGTTGTTGGTTCTGCTTCAGTTGTTGTTTCTTCAGTTGTTGTTTCTGCTTCAGTTGTTGTTGCTGGGGTTGTTGTTGCCGCTGTTGTTGCATTAACAGCCTCACAATTGAGACCACTGTCGATGCTTCCACCTGGACCATCGTACGCTTGCGAACAATCTGGACATTTCCATCCTGGAGTACAGTGACAGTTGCCGTTCTCATTACAGACCTGTTGAAAGTGAACATGAGAGTCAAATAACCTATTCCCACCATCAGGGAGATAAGATAATGTTTAAAAAACTTACCCCATTTCCGCTGCAGTCATTCGCACATGTTGGTTGTCCAGCATTGGCAACTGAAAGTGACACACACGTATTGTTTTGACAAACCTGAATAGAAATGCCAACAAGTAAAGTGGATGCTGTTCAGAAATGACAATATGTACGTCTGCTTCCCTACGCACTTTCGTGCAGCAGTTGATGGTGAATTTACAGCTCTTACAGTGAGACAATAATTTTAATTATTTTCAATATGCTCACTAGTCTTGAATTTATTTTCGAATGGATAGAAAAGGGCGATTTGATTAATTAATTTTCTGGCTTTTTTGTGTGTCCACTGCTTGGTAACATGCATTGAATTGAAATCCACTATCTTTTTAGAAAGGAGATGCTAACCATTTCGTTTCCACATTTTGTCCCATCTAAGACGGTACCCAATTCTGGTAAACCCTCTTCCTGAAAGATCATTGCAGACCTGTAAGTGTACAGCATATATTGTATTACTATTAATCAGATGCTGTGTTTAAATACTTTGGGTGGATCAATTGAAGGTTAACAACATGAGATATTGACGAACCTCTCATAAGGGGAAACCTCCCGTAAGCCGACATTCAGTCCTGAGAGTGTTCGCTTACATGAATTTCGACAGTTACTTGTAAATAAACATTTTTGAACTTACCGACAAGTAATTAATACACCGTTTATAAGTAAATTAACAGTACTACTTCTCCAACCATAACCAAGATTCTTTGGTGTTATCGTGCTGTTACCAACACACATTAATTTGCCACACTGAACGTCCCTGAAAATATTACAGTGTTCTGAATATGTCATGGGAACGGTTATACAAATAGCTTTGATGTCATCTATAATTACCAACATTTTCACAATCTTCCAAAGAGTAGTATTTTTCCCATCCCGCACCCCTCTCCTTAAGCGGTGGATTCAACAGTATAGCAACTTACTTAGGTTGGCAAGCCATATATGTAGTTTCGTTAAGTTTTTTGCAGTAACCATGTTGATCACCACGTGTGTTTACATGTTGGTAACAAGAATCATTCGCTTTGAAAGCACCTAGATGCAAGTGCACAACAAAATTTTGAAGACAAACAACAAGATCATCATAAAACCTGGCATAACAGTAGTGTCAACCAGTCACGATCCAGAGATCGTACTGTTGTTTTGAAAATCCCACGATTGTTCATGCCCACCGATTACGAAGTTTAAAAAGAATCTAATGTTAGAAAACTAAACCAGATATATACCGCCGCTCCACAGTTCATCACATTGGTCATCTTGAGCTCTACATTCTCCTTCGCGACAATATCCCTAGAGAAGAAAAAAATACAAAAGTTATAGGTAATTGAAAATAACAGTTACACCATCTGGTGCCCCGTAACGCATGCATCAATATATAAAGGTCTAACTTAGGCAAGACAAAGGATATAAGCTGTGTTTCCGACCTGATTATTATCACAGGATATGCCATTCACCGTTACCAGATCAGCAGGACACTGAAATATCACAAAGAATAGAAACTTAATGCTGGTATGTTGGGCCATTTACCTTAACCCTAGGTTAGCTGAAATTCAAAGAAACTTCTTAACGGCTTGTTTATAAATACGGAATGTCTCTTCAGAAATCTTGTCTGTATTGATAGACGTTTACTTCTCTGAAATTTTGAAATAATCAGACGTGCACAAATGTTCAAACCAAAACAGCGAGTTAAATTTTAACCAAGGGTTAGCGCTGGGGTTCCCCCCTGGGGTTCAATTCTCGGTGGCTGCCAGTGATTGGGGCATTCAGATATGAAACTAATTTCATTTTTCACCAAATGACAGTTACTGTCGCTATATGCCATATAGACTTGCCACAAGTCGGCCTCGAACGAAACGCGAGCTGCGAGCGCGAGCGACGAAGTCACTCGCGCGAGTGCCATACTGAGGACAGCCTACTGACATGAAGCGCGAACAAACATATAATGCGATGTTACACAGGACAATATCGCAATTGCAAATGATATAATTGATTGGCTCGGCATTGCAAATTGTCGTTCAACGTTGTATTTAGGGGACAGCGGGAGCAGACGTGTTTAGCCGCTTTTGACGTCATTAGAAAAAAATGTCTATTCCGGTTCGTTCTAAAATCATATCTGTTAAACTTTTCTTGACTATCCCGCATAAACTATCAAAATACATTATAACACACACCACTTCACTGGCTCCATTACAATACTCCGGAACATCGCACGAGTTTACAGCTTCACGACAAACTGCACCTCTCGAGATAAACTGAAAAAAAATATCAATCGATTAACCAAATTTGAAGACGGCCATTTTACAGTTAGTCTGGAGTCAAAACCAAAACGTTGCTTTAAAGTTAAGAATAATATAATAATAATAATGAGTAATAATCAACTATGTTTACAGGTCCGCTTGGTTAGCTATACTACGCGGCTATAAATCAAAGACCTGATACAAGTTAAGATCGCTCTTTGCACAAGTTTCATGCCATATTATTCCTTTTCTAATACAAGATTCTTCATACCTAATTATAATCAGTGCATACAACAGGATATTCATTCCTTACCTGGCAGTTACTACAGCAAACACCGTCACTACATTGGGCTTCGTCATTCAGCATACATGAAGTATAATTACAACAAGTGTTGTTAGCACGCTCACAGTCCTATGAAACATTTCAAATATTGCACTTGAATTCCACTTTTGGTAAACCATCAACCATGATGTTTCTTGGCTTTTCACCACCGGAAACATGTCTACGAAACAATATTTCCAGCGGCAAGGCTAGCCGTAACTCATCATTCTATGCAAATTTTTAATTATTTGCATTATTCACTTTTAGAAATGTATTCGGTCTTTAACATAATATTCAGATACAGGTTTATTAGCACAGCATGACCATGGTTAGCTGCGCCACGAATTGTTTTCAGGTTTGTCTCTCTTTTGGAAGTATAGCTAGGAAACATAGCTAGGAAACATGACTAGGAAACATAGCTAGGAAACATAGCTAGGAAACATAGCTAGGAAACATGACTAGGAAACATAGCTAGGAAACATAGCTAGGAAACATAGTTAGGAAACATGGTTACACTGTAAATTTCAGGGAGTAAAAATTACCCCTTTGAAGGTCAAAAATTACTCTCTTGAAAGGAGTAACTGATTTTAGGGTAGAAATTAGAATTGGCCATCGATAGAATTGATGACTGGCGTCTTCATGGGGCAAATCATTGTTATTAAATGTGTTGGCGTCGCCAGCTTCCTCAGTGTTAGCGTCATCAATGTTTTCGACACTCGTCTGAATACGTTTGATGTGCTTTCGCCGAAAAAACTATCCACAGATGCAATAATTATAAGGCATTTATGGCTTGTGCCTTTGGTTTATAGATTTCACACCACTCGCTTATAAGCGACTCCGGTACGAAAACATAGAACACTAAGTTTCATTCCCAAATTATCGTATAAGGTATAAATTGCCATGGGGCATGCAACATGCGGCTGGTTTCAATTCATTAATCAATATTGCGTGTTGCCGGTATCTGTTAGTTTTGATGCCGCGGAGATAGTAAAGCTCGTGCAGATTGGTTAAAAGGTCTCCTATTTCGTTTTACTTTGTGCTATTATTGCCTATCCATGCCCCCAAAGAGTCCCTGAAACAACCAAATTTGTGATCGCGTGACAAGCTTATAATCGTGACCTTGTTATTTTGAACTTATCACAAGAAACCTTAGAAACGAACACCTAAGGATTTATTTCCGCCCACTTGCCGTATCATATACTATGAAACTGTAGGCAGTTGTTTCTTTTGTGAGCACTCGGGCAACATTGATGATTTTGAAAAAAAGAAAATACCTATATGACTGTAAATTTCAGGGAGTAAAAAAATTACCCTTTTGAAGGTCAAGCATTACTTCCTTGAAAGGAGTAATTGATTTTGGGATAGAAATTACTCCACAATGCAGGGTAGTAGCGGAATCGTTGAATACGGAAGGGTAATTTAAAGAGGGGTAAAAATTACACCGGTTTTGCGGGTAATGTTACGCGGTGTATATTCGGGGGTAATTTTTTACAGGGTAAAACTTACCCCTTAGTTACCCTTCAATTTTTCAAGATGGCGGCGACGCATGGAGTGGCAGAAACACGCAGAGTATCTTCGCGTATACATCAAGCACATAAATCTGTGGCCATCGAATGAATTGATGACTGGCATCTTCGTCGGGAAAATCATTGTTATTAAATGTGTTGGCGTCGCCAGCTTCCTCAGTGTTAGGCTGTTAGCGACATCAATGTCTTCGACATTCCTATGAATACGTTTGATATGTGCGTTCGCAAAAAATGATCCACCGATGCTACAATTATAAGGCATTTATGGCTTGTGGCTTTGGTTTATAGATTTCAAACCACTCACTTATAAGCGACTCCGGTTCGAAAACATAGAACACTAAGTTGCATTCCCAAATTAACGTATAAGGTATAAATTGCCATTGGACATGCAAAATGTGGCTGGTTCACGGCCAATTCTTTAATCAATGTTGCGTGTTGCCGGTATCTGTCAGTTTATATGATGCTGCGGAGATAGTAAAGCTCATGCAGATTGGTTAAAAGGTCTCCTATTTCGTTTTATTTTGTATTTTTGTGCTATTATTGCCTATTCATGGCCAAAAAGAGTCACTGAAACCACCAAATTTGTGATCGTGATACGCTAATAATCCGGCGCGACCTTGTTATTTTGAACCACAGTTTGAACTTAGCACAAGAAACCTTAGAAACGAACACCTAAGGGCTTTATATTTCCGCCTACTGGCCGTATCATATACTATTAAAAATGTAGGCAGTTGTTTCTTTTGTGAGCACTCGGGCAACATTGATGATTCCGAAAAAAACCCCTAGACTAACTGCCCAAGATCCTCTTGAGGAGAGTGCGAGGTAGGCTTTAGTGGGCGAGTGGCGAAACGCAACGGCTGGAATCTGAGCCTATAGGTGCGAGGTTGCGTGCATGATTTTACTTTGGACCATGCAATCAACATTTCTCGCGGCGGGGCGCAAATAATTTTGAACACAATGACTTAACTTATCTGTGTTCACGTGTTGTATGTGCACCAATCAGGGAATGCGCATTTTTGGCGCCGAGTTAGAACACTGTGGTTACAACGAATAAAAGAACGAAGCAATCAGGCTTGTCATTTTCGCGCTCCGTTTGGGTCAAAAGCAGTGTTGAATTTGTATCATTATTAACCTATTTCACAGGTAAGCGCTACTTATTTTGTTTGATATATACTAATATTTACACAAGGTTTCGTTGTCGCGGAATCTGAATCTACATGTACATTAATATATGTACAATATATACAGTATATGTGCATTACAAGGTCGTATAATTCTTGCGTGACTTCGAGTTCCTCTGCATGGTTAGTAAATTGTACACGTATAAACGAACATCATGTTGCCAGCAAAGCGCATTGATTATGTACGCCGTCGTGCTGACATGAACAGAGTGATTTCAAATTTCGTGAGCCAACACTTAAATAATCTCATGGCCTATTATCAATAATCCTATGTTCATTTCTACATTTATCACATTTCTGACTCTTAAATTGCCATATAGTTACTTTGAGATTATAAAGGATTTAAGACTATGTTACTACCATCGAATTTTCCACGTTAAACTATATTGCGTGCGTGTTAGTTTGTTTGCACAAATCGAGACTAGAGCAAGCTGAAGCATATTTCATTGCGTGGTTGGAATGTGAAAAATGTGGCTTTGATCAACAACAGCGCTACGTTCGGTGCTATTTTGCATGTAATGCGTTCTTGATATGTTGAAACTCTTCAGTCTTAACAGTTCTCCTTATTCACCTTTCTGTAAAACACCATGTGAAATTTGTTAATAATATTAGAATACCTATTTTTTTCAAAATATACAGAAATGTAATTTAATCGTGCATGATCAGTGTTTGAATATATTAATGCAATTTAAGTGCAGCTGTTATTTATGGTAAAAATTCTTATTAATATTTATAGGTAGAATTCAAGAATTCCACCCTAGACCTTTATATCAGAAAACATCTTAATGTGAACTACAGTGTATGACAAATAATTTTTTCGGTTTAATCTGAGAATTTATTGCTTAAATTATGCTATAATTAGGGCATGTTTTCAGTGCAAAATTATCAAACATTTCAAATTACGTACGCCTGAATTCAAGATAATAATAATAATAATAATAATAATAATTATTCAAGATAATGCCAGATAATATATATATAGTGCTGATTCTGTTAATTCTACATGCATGCATGCATGCATGCATGCATACAGACATACTTATACATATACACAAGCAAGGGAATAGGCGGTTTTTATACATACATATATACCTAGCAAGGGAATAGGCGGTTTTGTACACTTATGTATAGACTTTGTACACTGACAGCGGATATATTGAAGTCACAAGTCAATCTCCTCCGTCTTCCTGACCATTTTGTGTAGTGTATCTCATCAAAAATCAAATTACTTTTTTTCGCATGTAATTGTTTAAATTTGAGTTGAAATATTTCTTCACGTGCTGAAGTTTCGAGTTGACACGACTTGAAACAGAACGTTGAGGTGACCCGCCTTGCGAGTGGAGAAATTTCAATTTAATTAGAACAATTTCAATTTAATTAAGAGCAACTAGAATCCACCTTGGAATAAATTTTGTGCCGTGCTGAAGTTTTGGGTTGTCTCGACCTGAAACAGAACGTGAGGCGGCGCGCCTTGCGAAGGTTACAATTTTAGTTCCTCGTAGGTTCTGTTGCATGCCAAACAGGCAAAATGATGCATGTAGAAAATCCTCGCAGGAATAAAATTATGCTCAAAAGTATAAAATAGGTGAAATATTCTACACCTAATGGGAAGGAAATAAACAAAAATAATTTAGGCAAGTTTACAACAAGTTGTATTAGCAAACACATGTAAAGTCAATTAAAGGCTTTAAGCTGTCAAAAAACCCAAATGTACTGGAATTCCCACACACCGTTTACGTGGTGTTTCCACAAACCTAAAATTATACATTGTTTATTATCTTATTACTAAAGTTTCTTAATTAAGATGGTCCCTTTAATTTTTAAAAATGTGAAAAATTCATGATTGTATAATTATCATGATGGTGATGGTTATTTTTTTTATTTTTTATTCCACTTACAAAATATTATAAACAAACATGATTGTTAATTTTCTAAAATTCGGCTTGTTCATGCAGATCGTCTATTCAGGCTATAGGAAAATGTTTTATGAAATAAGAAATGGGGGTAACCAGGCGTTTTTTCAAGTAGAGTGCAATGCAATAAATCGGTATTGTCATAGCAACAATGCTGACGTCATTTATTAACTGAATTATATATTATTCTCTTCCGTTGATATACAGCATTCCAAGCAGCTTGTTCAGCAGTGTAGGGGATTTGCGAATTATGACGATTCCGTAATTGATTTTACGAGTGTAACTATATATTAAAGGTTAAGATACCCCGCCCTCCGTTTACGGGTACCCTAATGGAGCTCGCATGATAATCCTATTTTACTACCCGTGAATGGGAACCGGGTACCTTTACCTCTATATTATGTTAACCAAGCGGGTTGTGGGTT